AACACAGTCTCTCAAATCTTAAACTTCGTCATTGCCAAAAATCGCCAACTTCACTTCACTTCACTTTGACTTCTGATCAGAACTTCTCGATGAGCAATTTTATCTTATGCTTAGATTTTCGAAAAATGTTCCGATAACATACAATCGTAAAATGTACATGTTGGCTGTTATCTCCTTTGAGTTGTTCACCTACCGGAAAATTCAGCGGACCAGAAGAGAAAGTTGTTCTGGGAAGCAGATGCCGATTTTACATTCCTTGGTTTGTGGACTGAGTAATTTAGGACCTGCGAAGCTTAGTAAAACTTGCATAAAATGGATGCAATAGTAACTCAAACCAGAGTTACTGCTCTTTTTCAATCGCATTTCACAAACCCAGAATCCTTTCGAAGTTGCCCTTGTCTGTGTATGTATCGAACAACCTCCAACGTTGTCCGTAATCCGTTGCGCTCGTTCGCCATCGCCCATAAAGTTTCTTTGTGACTTTGAAGATTCATCGATGTTGGTATGGAGGTTACTGGCGAGTCAACGTGGAGGATGACGCGCAGCCAGGTGTCGCAGAGGTGACCTTTCGCTCGGCGTTGTCCCCATAAACGGACATCAGCTAGCTAGTGTTCGTTTGAAGTAACCGATGGTAAGTACAGAATGAGCTCGACGTCGAACTCGACGACCACCAGCAGCTACTCGTTCTCGTACGTCGCCCACGAGACCAAGACGGTCACGCCGCTCGAATGGTTCAGCAGCCACTCCCGCCATGTCACCGTAGGTACGAGCCGACCCTGCAATTGTTTGAAGCTTCTTTTCGAAGCAATCGATGCTTATCGTTCGGCTCACAGCCAGTAGCAACTGATAAAAAAATCAGTAAGCAGAGGACTTCTCGAAAATGTCACTTGCTAGTTCTGGCACGGTAAGAATGATTACAAAATACTCGCGACGTAAGCTGATCACGAAGATTTCATAATTTTATAGTCTTAACGATCTACGATGTCGTCTGAAAACTTTTGAGAACAGAGCTTGGCACGGGTGGCATGAAAGCAAGCTGGATATCGTTTGGGATA